GTGGCTGAGGACGTGGACGAGACAGCAGGTAAAAAAAATAAATAAATCATTTTTTGAGGATGGTGAAAAAAATGGAAAGAAAGTATTTGGGGGGTTTCTGTTTAGTGCTTTTTCTATGTATGTTTATGTGATTCTTTTCTATGGTTTTTTATGTGCATTGGTGTTTTGCCATGGGTGTCAGGTCCCCTGAAACTGGATTTACAGATAATTGTGAGCAGCTATGTGGGTGCTGGGAATTGAACTTACATCCTCTGGAAGAGCAGTCAGTGATCTTAACCACTGAGCCATCTATCCAGCCCCTGTTTACGTGATCTTTGCACTTTGTATCTCCCCACTATAAATCTCCTTCACATGTCTGCTTCTGCCCCACCACTAAAATATGGCATTTCTCTAAATCTAATTGGCACCCACTTCTCTCCTTCTACTAGACAATGAACTCCTTGTGTTTCTAGCTCCAAATATGGGTTGAAATGTAGACAGCCATTCATAAACATCGGCTCAAGGAATGTACCTTGCATCAACAACCAATCAATGAAACCATCATGCAAGGGCCTCCAAAACCTTTTGGTGCCAGACTGGAATCATTCAACTTGGAATTATTCTTAATTCTTTCAGGCACTGTGAGAATTTTCAGCCTTTTAAATCCTAACCCATGCATTCCTGGTGGTCTTTGGAATCTAGAATGTAAATGTGCAACCAGTGTCGGTTAGAAAGGGGACGTCGGGAAATTTCTCTTTGGCTGGAGATTTGTGTCATGCACAGTTACACCGCCCTGTGTTCATCCCAGATGTAAGAGACTAATGCATACATCACAACTACCACAAAAGCCGAAGCCTCAGGAAGAGCCCCTGAAAAGGGCTTGTAAACCGGAGGCATACTTATCAAGCCAGTGTATGCAAAGATGTGGAAGCAGGCCTTACAAATTTAGTCACATATTCTAGGCGAATTTCTCACAGACCGAAATGGTCAATAGGTTGTAAATTGGTGAAGAAAGCGGAACGGTTAGAAGACAGATGTTTTCTGTGCTACACATGAGAAATTCAATGCTCAAAAGTTTAATGGTAAGCTTCCTAGTCAACCTCTGGAGCCACAGACATCTCAAGCAGGGAAGAACTTTGAACAGCTGGAAAAATCCATGGTGTAAGTTTGTTCTATATCGCTTGTGGTTTAAATCACACATGCACACACACACACACACACAAATACAAAATGGAAGGGAAAGAAGGGAAGGTCCCTAGAAAACACTGGTAGTGAGGAAAGGGAGAATGCTCTGAGCCCAATCTCCAGCACATCTGGGGGCCTGGGAGTGCTGGCCATGATGAGCGGACTATGCCTGCAATATCAGGGCTGTGGAGGCAGAGACAGAGACAGGAGGATCTCAGGGCTGGCTCTCTGGCCTGCCTGTCTAACCAGATGGTGAGTTCTAGGTTTGGTGAGGAAGGAATTCAGTCTCAGAAAATAAGGTAAAGAATGATGACATAAGACACCTGAAGTCAACTTCTAGCCTCCACATAAATGTGTATGTACACCCAAGTACACAAAAATACACACACATGCACACACACGCACATGCACACACACATGCACACACACGCAGTACACATGCACACGCACGTGCACACACACGCACGTGCACACACATGCACGTGCACACACATGCACGTGCACACACATGCACACGGGAGAGGGGAGGCAGCAGAGAGGCAAAAGGAAGTCACTGAAGACAAGGACTGCTGAGGGAAGGATTACACGGCGCCAGGCTGTAACCACCTGACGTTTGCCAATACACAGCTTTGGAAGCGGCTTTCTGACTTGTGGTGAGTGCATTAACATGATGAAAATAATGAATGCCTTTCAGGTGGTTTTAAAGATTAAAATGACATGCACAAGTATGTCACACTGTATGTTTTGTGATGTTTTTAGCACAATGTCAACTATAACAAACAATCGATTATACACATTATGGCCAAAGTTGTCATTATAACAGTACCGTCAAGTAGACTAGCCCCTGCCACTTAGCTCCCGTGATGGGGAGGGCTAACTCCAACATGGAAAATGTTCTCTTTTTATTCCTTTATATATTATCAGTAGAGATTTCTATTCTCCTACAAGTGCTTTTCAAATTTTCATACATAATCATATATACCTTGCTTTGCTCACGCCTTCCATGTCCTCCGTCATCCTCCACCGCACGAGCCAGACCCTTCTGCAGAAGTGTTTCTGCATTACTGCTCAAGCCTTCCATGCTAAACTGACCCCAGTTAGATGGCAGATGACAGACGTGCCTGCCAGGAGTAACTGAGGGCTGAGTGTAGGCGCCTGCTGTCTAAGGTCTAGTGGAGTGAGCAGAAGGTTCGCAGGCCATCTTTGTGCACATGGGCAAGGGGTCCTCAACCCCAGCCACGTGAGGAACAGGACCCAGCTGGCTTGGGCCTTGGCTGAGACACAGTCTGTGTGTCCGCAGGTCTGTGTGTCCGCAGGAGCAGGTTCCTTAAGGATGACTCAGATAAAAATCCCTCCCGAAGCTCCTTCCTCCTCCAGCATCCCTGGCCCTTTGAAAGTCCGAGTCATAGTCTTGTGATTATCTGTAGTCCACTTCCTCTGCCCCTTCCACGGGGCAGATCTGGACACGCCCCCCCTTTGCTCCAAATCAAGGTAGTTAGCTTTGCGTTTCTCCTACCATGCTTGCCGCTATCTGGTGTGTTCTTTCTTGTGTCTGTTTTTCCTTCTGTCTCTGTGGTTTGCTTTTCGCTCATCACGGTCCGATGTTGTTGGCCCATTTTCTTTGCTCTCCCCACAATGCACTGCTTCACCTCTCTATTATTATTACATTTTATTTATTTATTTGGGCATGAGTGTAGGTGGATGGGTGAGTGCCACAACACCACAGCATACGTGTGGAGGTCGGAGGACAGATTTGGGGGGCTGGTTCTCTCCTTCCAATCATGTCCTGGGGAACAAACTCAGGTCAGTCAGGTTTGTCAGCGCTGAGCTGGCCCCATTGCATTTCTCACACACAGTGGAAAAGAGGCTTGGCAGCAAGAGATGGTATAGTTACTGCCATAGCTCGGAAACCAGCATAGTGTCCCAAGATCAGACACAAGAGACAATTTAATTAACGTTTTTCCTTATATCTTCAAAGTTTTAACCATCCTCGAATATTATACTACAAAAAGTTAAAGCCAAATCAAAAGACTTTGAAGAGGAAGGGAACAATTCCATTTTATTAACTATTAAACAAAAACAAAACTTGGTTTGTTTAAACTTATTTGGTCATGATTTTTATCTGAATATAATGTGGGGAAATGGCATGGTGTGTGAATCATTAAGAAATACAGCAGGCAAGAAGTAAATCAGAGTCTGTTAGAGCTGGTACGGATGCGTCTGCACAGTGTATGGGGCGTCAGGCTCTTCCTGTACCTAGCCTTAGACTCCTATCACGGAGCTGGTAAGACAGCTTAGACCCAGGAAGGATGACCTTGTGATCTTGTCCCTGCGTGCTCTCCTCTTCCGAGCCATCAGCCTAGCTTCTAACCACTGTAGCTTCTGTGCATGTCCTTCCCCTAAGAGGCCTCAAAGCCTGCTGTCCATAAGCTAGAGAAACATACATGGAGAGCTGTTCTCACAGAGGACCCCAGGTAACTCGGAACTGAACACCTGCCTCCATCATGACTACCACAGGACACGTTGTTACAGCACATGGCTTCCTGAGTGTCCATACATGGCTTCCCGAGTGTCCACACATTTCGCTTAATTCACAAACTGGGCTAACTTTTGAATTCCATCCCTCTTGTCAAATAAAACTGCAGCCATCCTCAGGCGTGAGCAGCCGTGGCTTGTGTGACAAGAAACAGGACCGAGAAAGCTCTTTTAAGACGAACTTGAAACAGACATTCAAGCAGTGAGTTTTTGAACTTGAAGTATTTAAGTGTGGCTTTCCTCCAGATCCCAGCCGCCAGCAGTCTGTAGCTGCTCCTTCCTTTCTGCCACAGACCTCCTGCAGAGTGGGCTCTTGCAAGCAATAGAGACTACATCCCGGGGAAGCTCAGAGCACCTCTCAGAGGCAGTGAAAAGACTTCTTATATGATACATGAGTCATCTTGAAAGCTGGGGAGGATGGGCACACTTTGGTGGAGAACAATCTTCAACGGACAGACCCACCACCTTGGGTAGGCGCCGGTCCACCTCACTAGATGAGGTTCCCATAGGACCAGTGACCACAGTTCAAAGCAGGCTTCTCCCAGCTGAAGTGATTCTTTTGGCTACTCACTAATTCTTTTCCTAATGATTTCAGGCCTCCTACTCAAATGTTTAAGGAAATGTGAAACCAGCTAGACAAACTTTTCTTAACGACTAGGTACTTAAAATGACGGATACGGAAACCCCTCCCCCACTCCCAACTCCCCATCATTGAAAGATCATTAACTTTAAGAATATATGATGAATTCTCTACTTGTGTAATTTTTTTTGTTGTTGTTGTTGTTTTTCTTTTTTTCTGCAAAGAGCTCCTGGGGGCGAGGGGCGGGAACCTCAGAACCTCAGAGTAGTGTGTGTGTGTGTGTGTGTGTGTGTGTGTGT